TGTATATATAGTTTTTCAGCACGTTTTAATGCAGTTTTTGTGGTAAAATTAGGTTCCTCGGCTGATATTCGGGTTGGCTTATACTCGAGTATATACGGAATATACTGAGCATTTTACTCTGGTAATTGCACTACATACTTTATAAAAATATAAATATATATTTAAATATATGTTATGTGTAAATACATATGCTTTATATGTGTGTGTATATATATGTAGTTTGTACTGTAGTCACCAGAGTAAATGCTCAGTAAATGGTCGCTAGTGTTAGATGACTGTTATGAATGCAGAACCCAAACAAATGGAAAATCGACGAATTTACAATGATTGTTGAAACTGCCAAATAGACCAGAATTGTGTGTCCACTGTATTCTTTCTGGGTTAACGAAGTTAGCCTCAGTGTTAATTTTCCCTAAGAGGATTAACTGTCAATATCAAGCAGAATTTAGTTGGGTTCCTTTTACCCCGAACACTTAAAAAACATTTCTTTGTCCTTCTGAGCCTTCAGGCTGACTATATCTTTCTTCTTTTAACACATTCTCCAAATCTAGATAACGTCTTTAATTACAATTCTCTATTATGGTCAGTCTATTCTATTCAGAATTTTAGGGTATTTTCTGCAGGTGGTTTATAAGATAACTAATTAAATTACTTTCATAAATTTTTATTTTTCATTATAAGTTTAAATCTAAAAGTAAATATTTTATCAAATACTATGTGGAAAATACTTTCACCCCCTCTGTTCTGGGTGAACTCATTGTGGAACACTGGTTTAAATATTCTCAATGGTGAAAAATGTCCAACTTTGACCATCAATTTGATTTTTAAATAATAGTGGAACATCAGATCCAAGATGAATAACTAAGAGGAATAGATATCATGCTTGTTAAAAAAAAGTTATTTTGAGAAAATTATAATAGTTTATTAAGTACTGTTTTACAAGAAATTCTCAGAAGGGAGGATTATAAAATGTTTTGAGTAATGACATTAAGAATAAACAATTGGAGCTGCCAAAATTTTAATCCAGGTTCAGAAGAGGACATGAAATAAGAGCTATCAGTGCTGATATCAGATGGATTTTGGATGAAAGCACATTATACCAGAAAGGTGTTTACCTGTGTTTTATTGACTGTGCACAGGCATTTAACTTTGTGGATCATAGAAAATTATGTATAATATTGCAGAGAATGGAAATTTCAGAACACTTCATTTGCTTATATGGAACTGTGCATTGACAACAAAGGAGTGGCTCAATTAAAACAAGGAATACTGCCTGATTTAAATCAGGAAAGGTGTGTGTCAGGGTTGTATCCATACTTAACTCTATATGCTGAGCATATAATACAAGAAGCTCGACTGTGAAAAAAGAATACGTATCAGAATTAGAGAAATCTTTATTAACCTGTGATATGCAGATGACACAACCTTGTTTCTGAAAGTGTGGAGGACTTGAAACACTTGCTGATGAAAAGCCAAGAACTATGACCTTCAGTCCAGATTGCAACTCAATGTTAAGAAAACAAAAATCCTCACAACTGGACCATAGACAACATCATGAAAAACTGAAAAGATTGGAGTTAACAGGGATTTAATTTTATTTGGATCTACAATCATCACTCATGGAAACATCAGTCAAGAAATCAAACAACTAATTGCTTTGGACAAATTTGTACAAGACCACTTAAAATGTTAATGAACAATTATGTTAATTTGATTACTAATGTATATGTATGGTATTTTGAGCTTCCTCATACATGTGAAACCTGCACAATGATAAAGGAAGACTGCAGAAGAATTGATACATTTAAAGTATGGTGCTGACAAAGCTTATTGAAAGTACTAAGGACTGCCGTAAGAAGAAATAATAAGTAGTTCGAGAATGCTCCTTCGAAGCAAGGATCCCAAGATGGGCAAGTTCACAGGCAAGACTAGTCCTTGGAAAAAGACATCATGCTTGCTAAAGTAGAAAGGGACAGTGTTGAAGAAGACTTTTTGTGAGATATTAACAATGGCTGCAACAGTAGCCTAAAATAGAACAATTGTGAGAGTGGCATGCGCCAGACAGTGTTTCCATCTATTGTACACAAGGTTGCTATGAGCCAGAATTGTGTAACAGCAACAAGACTATAGTGCTTCCTTTATGCCAAGCACTCTTTTGTTTAATCATTTTATTGGGGGCTCATACAGCTCTTATCACAATACTAAATCACAATACATTTGTACATTTGTTGCCATCATCATTCTCAAAACATTTTCTTTATATTTGAGCCCTTGTTATCATCTCATTTCCCCCCTCCCCCTCCCATACGAACCCTTGGTAATTTATAAATTATTATTTTTTCACTTCTTACACTGACCGGTGTCTCCCTTCGCCCACTTTTCTGTTGTCCGTCCCCCTGGGAGGGGGGTTATAAGTAGATCATTGTGATCTAGTTCCCTTTTCTCCTTCCACCTTCCCCTTCCCCTCCTGGTATGGCTACTCTCATTGTTGGTCCTGAAGGGTTTATCTGTCCTGAATTCCTTGTGTTTCCAGCTCTTATCTGTACCTGTGTACATGCTCTCGTCTAGCCAGATTTGTAAGGTAGAATTGGGGTCATGACAGTGTGTGTGTGTGTGTGTGTGGCGGAGGGTGGGGATGGGGAGGGCATTAAAGAACTAGAGGAAAGTTGTATGCTTCATTGTTGCTACACTGCACCCTGACTAGCTTTTCTCCTCCCTGTGACCCTTCTGTAAGGGGGTGTCCAGTTGCCTACAGATGGGCTTTGGGTCTGCACTCTGTACTCCCCCCTCATTCACATTGATATAGTTTTTAGTTCTGGGCCTTTGATGCCGGATAACTGATTCCATCGACACCTCATGATCACATAGACTGGTGTGCTTCTTCCATGTGAACTTTTTTGCTTCTCAGCTAGATGGCCGCTTGTTTGACTTCAAGCCTTTAAAATCCCAGACACTATATCTCTTGATAGCTGGGCACCATCAGCTTTCTTCGCCACATTTGCTTATGCACCCATTTTGTCTTCACTGATAGTGTCAGGAAGGTGAGCATCATGGAATACCAGGTAATTAGAACAAAGTGTTTTTGGATTGAGGGAGTACTTGAGTAGATGTATGCTACCTTGATACTTAACATATAAATATATGTATATCAATCTATTTCCCTATCATATATAAATATATTTACATATGTACATGCCTGTATTTAGACCTCTATAAGTGCCCTTTGCCTCCTAGTTCTATCCTCTATTTCCTTTTACTTTCCTCTTGTCCCACTATCATGTTCGGCCTTCATTCGGCTTTCAGTAATTCCTCTGGGTTACATTGCCCTTGATCAAGCCCTGCTTGGCATCTTTCGCCCTCCTCCTCATCGATTTTAGATTACTTGTTCTCTTGTCCCTGGGTTTGTTAACACCCACTTCCTTTCCCGCCTCCCCTGCCTCCCCTCTCCCATTTCCTCCCCACCTCCCCTTCCAACCTTCAATCCAATTGTTTTCTACTCCGGATTGTTTATCCCACCTATCTTATAAATAGCCATGCAGAGACAATAATAAGCACAAAAACAAGGCAGAGCAAAAGAAAATAACAAATCAAGGACCCCAAAAGAAAGCCTATAAATAGTTCCAGGTCTGTTGTTGACCTTTAGGGGTGTTTTCTGGTTGAGTCTGATGGGGTGCCTTGTCCTCTATGCCAAGCACCCTTAACACATTTAATCTTGTGAGGGCGGGATTTTCTTGCTTGAGGAAAACCCAGAGACGTGACTTAGGGATTCAGATACTGTAGTTCAAAGTGTCTGTTCTTAGCCACTGTCTCTTACTCTTAGTGTAAAACCTTTTGGTTCTTTTTCTTGTCTGCAGACTAACAATTAAGATCCTAAACATGGCATTCCGTGATCCTGAGAGCTTGTTTGGAGGTTCTAGCAGGGGAACAACCGCTTCTTTACCCTCAACTGAATGACAGAAGGTTGACCTCTTCAACCAAACAGCCTTTCTGCGGGAAAGATGCAGACTGAGCAGTGAGGGAAGAGGGGATACCCGGCTAGCCAGCCAGATCAGCCAAATCAACTGATTTATGCTTTGTTTTTAGGATCTCTTGATCTTTTTGATGCTACAAGTTCTAGCCATTTTAATTTGCTTTTAGTATGTCCCATCTGCCTGCTCCCCAATCACCTAACAAATTTCTGCTTATTTTATGAAGCTCACTTCTGGTGGTATCTCTGAAGTTTTTCTGAACTGTTTACCTTTGTTCCTCTCTCTACTCAGTAAAGAGTTGACAATATAATGGGGGAGACAACTACAGATAATTGTATTAGTGATGTGTTAAGTATAATAAGAAAGATCATTTTAAAAGTATGGTATAGTTAAATATTTTGGCCCTATAACCCAAAGTTAGTAGTTTGATGCTAAATCTCAATTACAGATAGACCAGTGTATACAGATATATCAGTATTTGATAGCTTAAGAAGTAAAATATTTTCTACAGAAATGAATATAATACTTCTCTTGAATCGCATTTTGTATTTCATCATTTCTTCCCAAGACCTCAAAATCATGAAAGGGTTTATTTGCTTATTTTTTTATATAAACTTTTGGGAAATGTGAAAATAGATTTCTAGGACTTAGGCAAATAAAGCTTCTGTTAAAATGGAGAGTTTATTGAAGAAACAAAAGAATCTAGGATTGGCCATTACCTTATAAAGACTTGCCAAAGTAGTACTGAGGGCCAGCTTAAATGAATGCTTTTCCTAGAAGATGCATTCTGTGAGATGAAAGGAGGGAAGAAGGAAGGTGTTTGCAGGCTTCCTGAAGTATGCTGGCTGGCTGGCTTTTGAAGTCAGCTCAGAATAAGCAATAAACATGATTAAAATTTTTTTTTTCAAAATAAGCACTCTGGCCTGCATCTTTGGCTGCAGTGTTTTCATATGTCGTGCACATCGTTCTTTTGAGCTTCACAGATTTGATATATTTAGGTAATGAATTTTCTATCTCTCTCTTATTTGCAAGCTTCTTGCCCGACTTGAAGGTCGAAGTTCCTTGAAAGAAATGGAACCATATCTGTTTGCCGATGAAGAATCGCCTGTGCATGGTAAATAGAAAAACTTAAACCCACAATTTAAGTTTTATAAAACTAACTTTATATTATTCACATACTCTTAGCAAGAAGTTATGTAGTTAAACGGTATCATTTTAAGCCACATATCTTTAATCCTTCCTTTATTTGTATTAGATGAGATGAATTTTGGCCATCGAGGTAAATCTTAGGAGCCTTAATGGTGTGCTGTGGGTTACATGTTGGGCTACTAACCCACAGGTCAATTGAAACCACTCTACAGGAGAAAGATAGGCTTTCTGTTATTGAAAATATTTATAGACTCGGAAACTGTAGCGTGTCTCCACTCTGCCCTACAGGCCTCTATGAGACAGTTTACTTCAGCCACCGGGGCTTCTTTTTGTGTGTTTGTGTGTGTGTGTGTTAATATTGTCCAAAGGGGCAAGGGGCAGTCACCTGCCACGCTATAAATTGCTTTGACGCAGTGGGTTTCTATTTGATTCTGCTTTACCTTTCTCTTTTTGTCGATATAGTTTCTATTTGGTAAAGTATCATTCTTGTACTTACCTAAGATTCAACTTAATAATATTACTTCCTATGGAGAGAATGGAGAGATAGTTCATAGTAACATGGTTGATCAAAAATTGTCTTTTATTATTGATAGCTCAGAAGGATTTTTTCTAACATTCTACTGTATTATTGGTAATATTGAAAGTTTTAGAACCATTCCCAAATTTGAACTCTTTTATATATGATTTTTATAGATATGTTTACTGTTTATTAGAGATTAGTGCTTTACAAACATAGGAATTCTGGTAAATTCTATTTCACACAATTTCCCCACACATCCCTAAAAAGGTCATTTATTATCATTGTATACTTTGCATTATCTCCATTTTGATTCCATAAGAAACTACACACTCCAGGGGGAAGAACAACAAAAACTAGAGGGGAACTGAGACAGTGGTTGGTGTGAGATATGAAAATAATAATAATCTATAATCTATCAAGGGGCCACGAGGGTCGGGGTGGGGGGAGGGAAAAAAGAGGAGCTGATCCCAAGGGCTCAATAAAAAATAAATGTCTAGAAAAGAATGGTGGAAATATACATACAAATATGTCTGTGATACAATTGATGTATGGATTATAACAAGAGTTGTAAGAGCCCCAAATAAAATGGTCTAAAAAAAATAGAAACTACACACTCTTCTATAAAATACTATGTATCTGCTGGTTAAAGATTTTTCTATACACTTCAGACTCTGTATATTACAAACCTTGTTTTTCATTACTAGTACATACCAAAGAACACATTCATATTATATATATATGATATATACACACACACACATATATGTATGTATATATGTATATATATATATATATCTCATACTTCTTCCAAGTACTTCCCGAGTCAGGAACCAAAACTGCACAAGGCAGTTTGAGTAGTGTCCAGCATAAGAGTAAACGTGTGGAGGGGAAATTGAAATAGGAAAAGACAGTGATCCTAACTGATTGTGGTTAAAATATCTTGCTTTTGCAGATTTAACCCCCAAAAATATGATCATGTAAGCAAATTGATAGGATCCTTCTCATATCTTTTCTGGGTGGGGCGAGGTGCTCTGTTACATATACTTCATTAACATTTTTAATAAATCTGTCTGAACTTCTATTTTGTGCTCTGCCATCTTCAAATGTAACTTTTCTCTTGTGGTCTGGGATGTTTGTAGTTACCCATACAAGTTTCTACATCTTTATTTGCACCAACAAAAAGGATAGAAGAAAGAGCATAAGGCTTGCATACTTCATATCCACTCAGGTCTCATTGTTGTTAACCTAGTACCTTAGCCACACTTGACTGTTGTAGAGACTAAAGAAACAGGTGATCATGTCACAACTGAAATCATATTGTGTAACCATGTTATAACTTAAAACTTCTTTAAATGCATTACCTTTATTGGGGTAGAAAGGTCATATTCTCTGCCACAGCCTGCCATTTTGGCAACTAAAATAGGTATGTAGACACGGCCTTTCCATGGGATTCATTTTTACTGTGCTATTCCTGTATGAGCTCAGACTTTAGTATCTCAGTGCACAGAGAGTTTTTCCATCAGATCTGAATGTGGCTCCTTATGATCCAGCAACCTGTAATTAAAAGACAAATCATGTGCCCGTCCTCCTCTCCAATGCACACACCGGACACAACATCCAGTGATGGAAGAGAACAGACTAACCACAATAAAGACGCCTTCATGTTTCCAAACAAGCAGTCGTCTGAGATGTCAGCTAAGTCCACATGGAAGAAACACCCCAACGTCCATGACCCAAGAATTCTAAATTATATCACCCAAAGCCAAAGGAGGGAATAGTATCAGAGCTTAAATTGTGAGATTCTGGTTGGCAGAAGATTATGGATCACATTGGAAGCCCAAAATATATTTGTGAGATCTACACAGGAATAAGCTTCTAGTGACTTCCCTCTAACCATAATTGAGGGATGGGAATAAACTGGTTACCAGAGAGTATTGGACAGATTACTATAGTAGATTAAAATGATAAACCTAACTTAAACAGTTAAACCTTGTCACTTGATCTGGGTTTTTTTGTGATGTATTTTGTCACTGTGGTAGCCTTGAATTTTGTGTGTTTTTCTGATTTCTGGTGTATGAAACCCAGGATTGAGGAGCCTATAGAGACAATAGTTAGAATATGATTCTTGGGGAGTATGGGGGTGGGGGGAACAGGGGAGTGGGGATTGAGGGGAGCTGATATCAAGGAGTCCAAGAAGAAATGTTTTGAAACTGGTAGCAAGTGTATAATACTATTTGATGTGATTGAACTATGGAATGGTATGATGTCTGGATTAGCTCCTAATAAAATTATTTGGAAAAAATATCCCATTCAGAAAAGGGGAATATGAAAAATATGAAGGGAAATTTAAAAGTTGGTGGGAAAATCTTTAGCCATTTTGAACCAGAAGTGGAAGGAAAGGAAAGCGGCTTTTAAGAAGTAGTCTAAGCAGGAGATAGGACTGGCCTCTAGTCTTTCTTCTACCAGGCAGCTCTAGGCCAGCTGGTGCTAGGCCAGCAGCCAAGATCAGACGAAGGATTGGCCACTTTCTACCCAAACCTCCAGAGAGGACTGGGCGGAGTGAAGAGGCAAGGAAATAAAGTCTTCCTACTTAGGAAACATGGGAAAAGGCCATTGTCTTTTAATTTCACTTTCCCATGAACTTTTTGAAGCCCTCATATGTCACAGTGGACCGTAATAATGGTTGAATCCTGCCAGGAAGGAATTGTGAAAACTCCGCGTCCTGGCAATAAGGTAAGTTCTTAGGTTAGCCCATCCTGTGCCCCTTGCCCTGCCTTCTGGGAGTTTCTTCCTTGCTCATTATTCGTTCTGGCCAGTTGTAAGGTGAGCATTTGGAAATATGCCTTTGAGAGTGCTGTGTAGTTTTTGTAGTCTGCTTTCTGGACCCAGGATTTGCTTTAAGAGTTAAGCAAAGTAAGGTTTTACAGGCAAAAACCAGAGTTGTAATTACGTTAAGAAAAATAAGTTCTCATAATAGTCATAAGAGGGTTTTTGATTTGTCTATTTTTATCTAGTTTCATTTTTCACGCTCAAAACCAAACACACCCTGATCAAAACTCACTTCCATTAAGTGGATGCCGATTAATAGCACCCTATAGGACAATATAGAACTTCTCCATGAGTTTTTGAGGGTGTAAAGCCCAGTGTTTTCCCCTCAGAGCTGCTTGTGGTTTTGAACTGCTAACCTTGCAGATGGCAGCTCAACTTGTAACCATTCCGCCTCCCAGGGTTCCAATTAACAGATAATGACCCACTAAGAGGATAGAACTGCTCCTGTGGGTTTCAGAGACTAACTTTAGGGACTTTCCCCTATGGAGCAGCTGGTATTGGTGAACTGTAGACCTTAATATTAGCAGCCCAATTCATAGCCACTCGTGACCAAATGCTGGTGTTTCATAAGTCATTCACTGCCATTGAGTCAATACTTGTTTGGGCTGGGTCCAGACCAGGCAGCTCCCACCCCCTCTCCAGCCTCTCAGGAAAACGGATGACCTGCTGGACTATGAAGCCCCTGCCCCCAGCATTACAAGGAGCTTCTCTCCAGGCCAGGCATGTGCGGCCCCTTCCCCCAGCATTCCAGGAAACGAGTTTGCAAAAACTTGATTTCCCACAGAGCACAGCTGCAGCACTAAAAACCTCCCTTCCTCTTATCAGCACATAATTCCTTGACTCGGGCCCTATATATGTCCCACCACCTCACTGCCAGGTGCGATTTCCCTAACCTAACTCCTTGGGTTGCGGAATCTGCCCAGGAGTTCCTCCCTTAGTAAAGCCATCCTTTACTTTTCATTCCTGACTGAGCCCTGTCTCCTTTCTGCGCCTCCGCCTCCACCTTTTGGTGCTGAAACCCGAGACTGGCATGAGGGGCCTACTTTTGTGTTTAGGCCTCCTTCTGGCCAGTGCGTTGCCCCATCATCTGCTTCCACAGACCTCTGAAGCTTGTCTGCATAAGCACGTTTCTGGTCAATATTTCTGTGCATGTTCATTCTGTCTCGTTAAAGTCTTGTTAGCCACTCCAGACACCAAGGACCAGGAAACTCATGAGATCATAGGGTCCCCAAAAGGCTGGAAAGCTAGGAAGTTGGAGGCGCCCCGCTGGCGGGGTTATTATGCCAACCCTAGTACTAAAAGGAGCTGGAAATAACTGCCTTTCCCCAAAAGGGGTGCTATGATAAGGTCAGTTTCTCCTGTCTACCTTTTCTTCCTTCATGTAGCCTCCAGCCCTTTGTCTCTGTTTACTTCCTGGGATTTCTGCCACTGACAGGACTGCTGGCACTGGGCCTGGCAGTCACTGCACCTTCCAACTGGACTAAAGCACAGAGGATGAGTCTGAGCTTCATCTACTGGTGTGTGTGCTTTGTATTTGTAGCTCTGCGGTGTCTGCTCCCAGAACTACTCTAAGGCTTTCCTACTTCCTCCTTTCCTTACCCTGAACAAAGGTCTCT